GCTGCCGGCCTCTCGATGCCCTCCGCGGTCGCAGCGACATTCCCTGCGTCGAGGATTTGGTAGCCCTCCACATTGGAAACGACTGCTCTGGCGAGGAATCTCCCCTTTCGAGTCTCCAAGCATTTCTTTGCATCACTGTCGTGCCCCAGTGGCTGAGCAAACTGAGCGCGGGATTGCATTTGCCCGCGGCAGAACCATCTCCTTTGCCGGGTTACCGAAGACGCACTGCCTCTCCATTTCTGTGCGACATCGGAACTGGACTCCTCTATCAAGCCAATGCTCGCAGCGGCCAATGCCGGCGCAACCTCCATTCGAACGAGCTTAACTAACCCAACAACTGCGCCACTGCATTCCTGAGTCTGTACGAAGGCCAACACGGCGAGGCAATCGTTGATGGCAGGCGTCGCGTCGGTCCTGTCCTCTACCATCTGCTGCGCGAGCGCGCAGGGCGCGTGCTGGGCTGGGTCGACGGGTCGCGGCGCACGCCGCGGGTCAACAGCTTCAGACACCATCAAGTCCGAGGCGCCAGAGATCTTTAGCATTGCAGCGGTTGTCGCCCCGGTCTCATCCCGCGGTTTCCAACAGTGATGTCCGTTGAGTTGCATGGTCGACGCTGACGCTTATGTCTCAGGGGCAAGAGACTGGGCAATTTGGCAGGCGCCACGCGGAACCCCGCACTCATAATGAAATTCAGCTTCCTCGGCCAGGGGCTCTCCGCATGCCTTGTTGTCTTCGCCGATGGCGGCCTTTCCTCCCTCAGTTGCCACGCGCGCCTTGTGCGTTGACATCAAGGCGCTGAGAAGAATATGCCCGCGTAGTCAGACAGTCACCATCCGCCAAAATGCGCAGCCGCCTATGCTTCTCTGCAAGCCGAATCAGTTCATCTGTTCTGCCAAAGACTCAGACTCCCGCAGTTTGACGCACGCACGCGCATCTGGTGTACGTCGTCGCGTACCTGATGAGATCGCTGCCAACGATGCAGCTTCTGGTCTGTGGCAAGCGGTAACCCAGCATATCTGCGGCCCTGCTTTGGTGCCTCAGGCCACGTGCGCGCTCTCTCGAGAGTCGCATAATCGGTGAATTGAGCAGCCTGCTGAGGATCGTACTGGCGGCCCCGGTACGGACACTGACAATTCAAAAACAGGCATATGGTGGCTTGCTTCGCCGCCCACTTTGTGACATTCGTGCCCGTAATATCCAGTATTGTAGAACAAGAAACAGCTGTGCTGGATGCGCTGCCTGCGGGCCCAGACCGGGCCCTCGGCCCCCACCAATCTCTGGGAAATATGCGTTCGCAGCATGGCGCCCATACTTGGGACTGGGACCCTGGGTATGTGCGGCGATAGTTGCTCTAGGGAGGCCGACCTGTTCGGAGAAGAACTTGAATCATAACAGTTGCGGTCGGCTCCCCTGGAGGGTACCTCCAGGAGGAGCCATACATCTATGTGTGTATATATGTAGGTTAATACACTTATGCATCTACGCACATACGTCCCTCTGTGCACGGAATGGGCGCGTGTCCTCGAGTCTCTCACTGACCCTCTAAGCCTCAGTCATCACTCCTGAGGAATTCGTTAAAAAAAGGTTCGGAGCCCTTCGGCCCAAATCTCTTGGGGCTTGTCGCGGTTCCCCCGGGCCGTTCCATGTGCCCCCGCGTCACGCTTCTGGACCCTAGGGGTCCCAAAGACGGGCCAAGAGGGCCCCAAGAGGCCCCCAAGATGGTACAAGAGGGCCCCGAGTCGCCAAACGATCGCTCCAAGACGCTCAAGATGGCCCCGACGGCCCAAGAGGCCTCCAAACCGCCACAAGAGGCCTCCCAAGAGGGCCCAAAGAGGCCAACATCATTGATCTCCCCCTAGGCGCTTGAAGGATTTCGGCATTCTCGCCGTTTCGGCTTCCCGACGCCCCCAGACGGCCCCAGAGGCCCTAGAGGGCCCCAAGACAGCCCAAGAGCCGCCCAAAACACACACGAAGGCCGACCGGCTGCCTCCAAAGGGCCCAAGAGAGGGAACACGAACCGAAGATCGGAGCCGTCCGCCCCAAGAGGCCCCCAGGAGGCACCAAGAGGCGCCCAGGAGGCCCCAAGAGGCCCTTAAGAGGTCCCCAAGAAGCCCCCAAAGCCTCTCAAGATGCCCCCAGGAGGCCCCAAACGGTCCCCAAGAGGCGTCCAAACTGCCTCCAAGAGGCCCCCAAGAGGCCTCCCACGAGATCCCAATGAACATCCAACAGGCTTAATGCCCACAGCCCAGGCACAGTGACGGGATGAGCCGAAGGCCATTCGTGTATGTCTGTGTGCATCAAGATATACAGATACACCTACACATGCATGCATGCATGCATGCATGCATGCATGCATGCATATATGCATACAATCATATATTTAGATAGATACATGCCCATCCATATACGTTAATAGGGCACGTGCACACATATACACATATAGATATAGTGTGCCAGCGTGAACATGTGCATGCACAGACATAGATGCTTCCACATACATATTGCTATGTGCATAAATGTATGCATATATTTGTGTACGCATACGTGCGTGCACACACACACACAACTGTATATGTATATAAAGAGATTTATGCCGTACTGACTGGATCAAGAGGGGAACATGCGCCGCTTCAGAACAGGGACAGTCGATGGACCAACAGGGGGAGGACCCATGCTTACCTTTTTACTGGCCAGATGATGTTAGGACGGTCGCGGTGCCATGAACATGAATATCCGCCACCGAGCCGCTGGGCACGGAGAAGGCGCGTCAGCAGGTCCTTCGCCCAGTCCCCCCTGAGCCTCAGCCCACAGCTCCGAGCAGTAAAAATTAAGGCCCCCGGCCGGAGTTTCCAAAATCTCCTGGGCTTCCCGCGTGCCCCCTGGGTTCCCCCTTATCTTGTCGCGCGGCGTTCTCGGGTCCAGGGGGGCCCCAAGACGGGCCAACAGAGCCTCAAAAGGCCCTCCAAGACGGTCCAAGAGGGCCCCGAGTCGCCGAAAGTTCGCCCCAATACGCGGAGGAAGGCCCCCACGACGGCCAAATATGCCCCCAAGACGCTCCAAGAGGCCTCGAACAGGCCTCCCAAGAAGGCCCCAAGAAGCCCAAAATCATTGAATTTTCTTCGCCGTTTCGGCATCCCGACGCTCCAAGACGGCCAACGAGGCCTCCAAGATCGCCCCGAGAGGCCGCCAAGACGCCCCCAAAGACGGCTCAAGACGGCCCGAAAACGGCCAAAGAGCCACTCAAACCGCCCCAGAAGGCCCCATACAGGCCCCAAAAGGGGCCCGAGGGAGAGAAAGCACCAACCAAAAATCACAGCCTTCCGCTCCAAGAGGCCACCAGGAGGCCCCCAGAGGCGCCAAGGAGATCCCAAGAGGCACCCAAGAGGCCCCCAAGAGGCCCCAAGATGCCCCCAAGAGGCCCCCAAGCGGCCACCAAACGGCTCCCAAGAGGCCCCCAAACGGCCCCCCAGAGGCCTCCAAGCTGCCTCCAAGAGGCACCCGAGAGGCCTCCCAGGAGATCCCAACGAACATCCAACAGGCTTCGCACCCACAACCCAGGCACGGTGGCGCCATAAGCCGAAGGCCATTAGTATTGACTACCTACTGGACCACCCCAACCCAACCCGAAGACCTTAATTTCGCCTGAATGTCGGGATGGGGGGTACGGGTTCCACACGCGTTTTTTCGATGTTCCCCGACACCCACCCCACTGGAAGTGGACGACAAATCGGGGCCTTCGGGTTGGGTTGGGGTTGTTTGGTGGGCGGTGAAGTATTGATCCGCCGCCCCCTGTTGGCTCGCCACAAAGGTGCCTGTCCTGCTCAAGCCTGTACGGCTTGGTTTGGGTTCGCTCTTTTCCCAAAGAACCCCCCCTGGGGCTTCGCCCGCAAAGGGCCGGCAACAACCTCAGCACGTCAGCGTCCGCAAACAATCCCTCAAGACGGCTTCAGATGGCCTCTCCGACGGCAGGTATGCCACAAGATGACCTCCACGATGCTTCCTAGACGGCCAAGATGGCCCCAACATGGCCCCAAGATGCACCCAAGACGGTCCAAAATGGCCTCGAGATGGCCTACGACGGCCCACAAGTTTCACAAGAGGCCCCCAAGAGGCTCCCAAGAAGGGCCAAGAAGCCCCAAAGAGGGCCTCCAGGAAGGCCCGAAGAGGCCAAAATCATTGATTTCTCTTACGTCTGTCTAGGATGTTCGCAATTTTTTCTTTTCGGCCTTCCGACGGCCCGAGACGGCCCAAGAGCCCCCAAAGATCGCCCACGAGGCCTCCAAGATGGCCCTAGAACGGCCCAAGAGGCCCACAAGACTGGCCCAAGAGGCCCCCAAGACGCCCCAAGAGGCCTCCAAGACGACCAAGATAGCCTCCAAGACGGCCCTGGAACACCCCAAGAGGACCCCAAGTGGGCCCAGAGAGGCCCCCTAAGACGGCTTCCGACGGCGTCAGACGGGCCAGGAACGCACTAAGACGGGTAAGAGGCCTCCGAGAAGCCCCCGAAGGCCCCCAAGAGACCCAAGGAGGCCCCCACGATGCCCCCAAGAGGCTCCCAGGAAGCTCCAAGGAGGCCCCCCAAGATGCCTCCTCCTCCTCCTCCTGATCATCCCCGCCTTCCTCCTCCAAGTGTTCCCCAAAGGGTTTCCACAACGGCTGTGGGAACACATGGCCCGATAGCTTGGCAGAGCTCTTGCCACAACGCTCGGCCTCATGGGCGATTCCACAAGGCAGGGGGTGGCAGTCATTCGAGGTGTCTTCGATCCTTGATCGCATCTCGCACTATAGAAGGCCAATCTGTGTGCCGATAGTCGCGCTCTGTAATTCTCGGCGAGGCGCAACTCTTGGAGACCGGCTTGATGAGGCCTGGCCCACAGAACCCTCCGAAAACCTCGTGGAATTCCCCAACCCGTCCCAGATCTCAGAGAACCTCCCTGGCTCTTCTTGCGACCTCCAAGATGTTCAAGGGAGTCTCCTGGCGGCATCAAGAAATACCCCACGAATTGATCCGAAAGCAAAGTCGACTGTCGGGAGCTCAACTCCTGTCCATCTGCCTTCCCGCGGCTCGAGGCCAAGGCACGTGTTAGGTGGGCAGCATGCGCACTACAACGTGTAACCCATGGGCAGCTGTCAATGACCTGGTGGAGACCAGGTGTAGATGCGAAGGACAAGCGCAATGAATTACTCACAGAGGATGAGGGGAAGGAAGGAAGAGATGGGAAGAAGGAGGATGTGGTTGCCCGCGGACCCCCCCTTGCCCAAGGCGTCCAATGCCCAGAATTTCCCACCAAGCTCAGCCAGCGAGAGAAGCAAGCCGTTTACCAATGCCCCGAGCTGGACCCTACCTAGGCCACCGCCGGATCATTGGTGTTAGCAGACTGGCATCGCACGGAATGTGAAGATGCAAATGAGAAAGGAACACAGATTCTGGTCAGGTCCACCTACCGTGGACACAGCATTCGGTGCTCGGGCCGACATGGCCAGGACAAAAAGGTATACACAATATGTCAAGGCTCCAGATGGGCAAGGCTAGGCTTGATTCCTGGCGGTCCCCGAATTGCAACCCAGGATGGGCGCATTCCATCTCAAGGCTGCCTGAACATCCCATATCCAGATCGACGTCCAAAATATAAAACGATGCGTACAGTGGAAACGGGGCCCGACGCGCAGTAACACTTGCAGAACTCCCATGCCACCCCGACCGCTGCTGTAAACAGTGTTTTGGCCACAGGTCGCCCACCCCCACATCCCCTGCCGAACGGGAGAACAAAACAGCGGAGAGATTGTGATCTGCAGTTGGCCAAGTCACTGGGGATGAGCACGCGATAAAGGCTGCAGGTATGCAACCTGGTATAAACAAATCGTGGCGATCCAGTGCGCTTCCTCGTTGTACTCGACTATTTACTCAAACAGTATTTAGATTCAGTCAATCAGGTGTCGAAGCAGGACTCCGCCACAATCAGATGCCTGCCCTCAACACTGCCCGCTCCTCAGGAGTACTGTTACTTAATTCCTCTTGCGCGAACGAAGCCACAGCGACACATCCTGAGGTGATTCTCGCCGTCAACAAACAAGACACCACTGCCAATGTTACGAATGCATGACTGTCACCGCATGGTGGGCAAAAGCTCGGCCGCGTGCCCCTCAGGCCGGTTTGCCAGCCGCCGAACGACCGCTGCCCATTCCTCTCCACAGCCGGAAGTGCAAATGAGACACTTCTGGTGCTGAACCCGCGGGTCGCTGCACCCTGCGACATGCTTAAGAAATCATGGGTTAAGAAATTCATAGTCTCAGAATTTGAATAAAAACCAAGAACTTCTATCAAACTCATAGGATTTACATTGAAACATTCAGAATAATAGAGACTCTGGCCGAAAACTTAAGTTTTCTTAAGCATCGCCTAGGGTGTACTTTTCCCCTGGTTCTGGACTCGCGCTGGGCCACGCGCATGCAGGCTTCGGAGGCCACGGCGCCTCGTAAACTGCGACGCCTGCGCGCTCCCAGGCAGGGGCCATGCTGCGTCCACATGAAGCTGCAGCGCATGCGCGCGACCGAGGTCGCATCCCTTAGGAAATTACGATGTGTACGGGCCTCCGAGGCCACAATACCTTGTAAATTAAAAAAACGAGGCGCGTTCCCGATGCCACAAGAACCAATCCTGGGGCTGAAGCCCGTCCCGCTGGCCACCCGAAAGGGGCTCAAACGAGCACAACGTCCCCCAAAAAGCCAACAAGACGGCTAAAGATGGCTCTAAAATGTTCACATTGGCCCAAGATGGCATCCGAGACGGCCAAGATGGTCTCCAACTTCGCCCAAGATGGTCCAAGATGGCCTCTAATACGGCCCGGGAGGGTTCAAGATGCCTCCAAGTCTGTCCAAGAAGCCTCCAAGACGGCCCTAAACGGTCCCCCAAGAGGCCTCCAAGACAGCCCAAGAGGCCTCCAAGAGATCCTCCAAGAGGGCCCAAGGAGGCCAAAATCATTGATTGCTATATGGTTTGTGGAGGATTTGGGCATTTGCTTCTGTTCGGCGGTCAGACGGCCCAAGAGGCCTCCAAGATCCTCCCCAGAGCGCCCAAGAGGCCTCCAGGATGGGCCCAGGACGGCCCAGAGGGGGGCCCAAAAAGGCCCAAGAGGCCGCCATGACGGCCAATATGGCCTCCAAGACGGCCCTGAAGCACCCCAAGAGGGCCCAAAGACGGTCCAGAGAGGCCCGGCCCAGGAACGGCCTAAGACGGCCAAAGAGGCCCCGAACAAGCCGCCAAATGCCCCCAAGAGGCAGAAGGAGACCCCCAAGAGGCCTCCAAGAGGCTCCCAGGAAGCTCCCAGGATACCCCAAGAGTGCCCAAGGAGGATCCCGAGAGGTCTGCTCCTACTCCTCCTTCTTTTCCTCCTTCTCTTCCTCCTCCTCCTCCTCCTCTTCCTCCTTCTCCTCCTCCTCCTCCTCCTCCTCCTCCTCCTCCCTCGTCCTTCTTCTCCTCATTCTGGTGTTCCCCGAAAGGGTTTCAACGACGGTTGGGGGAACACGTGTTCCGATAGCTTGGTCAAGCTCTGGCCCAACTTTCGGCCATACAGGCGCTTCCAAAAGGGAGGGGGCGGCGGTGACTCGCCGTAGGCATCTTCGAGATGTCGATCTCGGCCAGCTCGTCTATGAAGCTAAGGCATAACGAGGCATAGTGGGCTTCTCGTGACCCTCTCTGACGGGGCGTCAGGATAGGTCGGGTGCACTTGGCGCGTCGCCTCCTCACATACTCACTCATGGCACCGGGCGCCCGTGGCCCGCAACCTACTTGTCGAACACCCCTCGTTTTCTCATGGTGGAACGTCTGGATTGGATCCCCCCGGATGGCCCCCGCTCGTGCACCCTGTTGCCGGGAGGCTACGACGGGGCTCGTACATGCGATCATGCGTGTGCAAGGTGGCGCTCATATCTGCAAGCAAAGACTCCAACTCGATCCGAAGACAGACATGACATGGGCTGACAATCACTGAAGTAAACCGAGCTGGAATAGACTGGGCTATCTACCCTACTCTACCGTACAACGGTCTACCCGACCCCACTATGCTCTACACGATCTACCCTACTTACCCTACGAGAGCCGACTCTATTTTGCTCTACTCGGCTCTGGTCTTTACCCTGTCATACTGCACTCTACTCCATCATACCCGACCCTGGTCTACCATCCGCAATACGCTAATCGACTATACTCGACCCTTCTCTGCTTCACCCTGCCCTGCCCTGCCCGACTACCCTACCCTGCTCTGCTCGACTCTTCTCTACCTCACTCTAACACACTCGGAACTAGGCCAGAAGAACATCCCTCAAGAACACGAGACCCTCCGTCGGCCAAAACGCACAGAACATCCACGGGTACCCTCCCCAGGGTGCACAAGAACATCCAACCAACACGAAGAACATTAGGGTACCCTCCTCGAACCGACCTCGATCTTATACCTCCGGCCGACCATACACTCCACTCTGCTCTGCTCAGCGGGCTGGCCGCCACCGACGAGTGGGCACCAGACGCCCCGAGCTGCAGCGGGCACGCTGGTCGCCGGTGCAGTCTGTTCGCTGCGGGCAGGCGGGAGCGGCAGCGCACGGCCGGGCCCCGACGGCCCTGGCGCTCGGGGCGGGAGGCGAGCGGCGAGGGCTTCGCCTGCAACCTGGCTCCCTTCGTCTGCGAGGGCCAAGGCGACTCCAAGGCCGGCTGCCAGGGGACGGTGGCCTGCGCCTCGCGAGGCGAGGAGTGGGCGTGCATGCCATCGTCGAGCAGGGCTCACCTGTGGGGGGGGGCCCTTTTAATAGGGGAACGAACAATTGCATAAACAGAAAACCTCGGAGAGGTCCGCGGAGGCCCCGCCAAAGGGGTCCAGCGCCGACCCGGAGAAACCCGCTCGGACCTCCGAATTTGTATGTTTATGCCATTGTTCGTTCCTCGGCACTGCGCCCCTCCCGCCGCGTGCTCGTCGTGGCGCAGGCCCGCGGCGAGCTCTGCCGCCCTGGGAAGGCCCAGGAGGGCCCCTCCAGGGCCTGTCGCGAGTCCCTTGGAGGGCCTCTTCGGGCCCGCGCGGACCTCCGAGCTGTTATCTCTATGTCATTCTTCGCTCCCCTATTCGACGCGGCCTCCGCGAGGAGGACCTCGGGCTCACGGTCACCCGGGCGCTCGGCCACCTCTGCGGAGGCGGACACGTCGCTGCTGGCAGGGCCGCCCGCTGGCAGAAGGCCGGCCACCAGCACGCCGACACGTCCGCGAAGGATGGGCGCCCGCCTGGCCCCTCCCCCGGCTGACACGTTTCCCAAAAGGGACGCCAGCGTTGCATTCGAGACTTCGAAGAGTGCGAGTGAAAGCGTCATGCGAAGACCTTATGGGCGAAGCCGCGGGAACTTGAGAAATCGGCATCGCCTGTCTCAAAAGTCCCTTTCCCTGGGGCCCCTCTTGGAACCACATGACCGACCACCACCTCGACATCGCCTCCGACCTCGGCGCGGCCGCCGAGGCGGCGATGCTCTGCACGGGTAAGCTTCGGCGGCGAGCGAGGGGGGGAAGGAGAGAAGGAGAAGGGTCTCTCAGAGAAGGCGGCGGGACTTCTCGGAAGCCCTCCAGCCTTCCGAGAAGTTGATTTCGTGTCTTCGGGGAAGGCTTAGGACACTCCTCAGAAGGCCCAGGGACTTCCGAGGCTTCTGCGAAGGCCGCCCCTTTCTCACTTCCCCCCCGGGCTCGCCGCCGAAAGCTGCACGCGCGCACGGGGGCCCACGAGATCCGGGACCACGCGGCGGACATCATCCTGGAGGCGCCCCGCCTCGAGCAGCTCAACGGCCGCGGGGGCAGCGCGAGGGGGCCCGGCCGCCAGGGCGAGGCCAGGGCGAGGCGGCCGCAGCGCCAGCAGCGGCAGCAGCAGCCCCAGGCGAAGCAGGAGGGCCCAGCTCCAGCGCCCGCAGCCCGCGGAGCAGCGAGGCGACGGCAGCCCAGGCCACCCTCCCCGCCCGCAGCCGGCAGCTGGCGTCCACGCGCGGAGCTGCAGGAGCCACGTGCTGGTCCCGCGGCGCACCATCGCAGGCCCAGGGCGCCCTGCACCCCTGCCCGGCTCGGCGTTCAGGTGCTACGGCTACTGCCAGGGCAGGCTAGCCAGGTCCAGCCTCCTCGAGCGGTGCGGGGACAGTGACGGCGCCGCAAGCAAGCCCAGCAAGGGCGCGTCCAACACGTGCGTATGGCCAGGTGCCGGCTCGGCGGCCAAAAGGGCTTGGAGGCTGGGCAGGCCAGAGTCGCCGAGCCAGGGCGTGCAGGATGCCCTCCACAGCCTCAACGACAAGAGAGGGGAAGCGGCCCAGGCAGCCAGTGGTACCATGGTGCTGGGTCCTTGGTTCCACGACGAAGGGGCTGGAGCCAGCGGAGAGGCAACGTCGGCGGCAACCTCCCCAACCACGGTGGGGGCCGGCAGGGACTACAGCCTCATCTACTCCAGCCTCGTCCCCGCGCCCGACTTCGACACCTTCGAGGCAGGGCCTGTCAGCAGGTACGGCACCTCCCCAGAAGGGGTCGAAGGCTTCCCCAAATGGGCGAAGAAGCGCCGCCAGGCCTTCCGCTCCAGGGGCGACCCCGACGGCATGACCCAGGAGGGGGACACCAGCGGCGGAGAGGAACTCGAATTTGCGAGCCAGCTCCCATTCTTCCAGCGCTCGGCTCGCGCTAGCCCACCTTGCCCCTGGCGCAGGCCATAGGCTTGAGCGTGGAAGGCCCGTTGGCGACTTGGCCACGGGCAATTACTGCCCCACCTTGCTGGGGGATCAGCTGTATATCGGTGGGTACTCTACTCTGCTCCTGATCGACTCTACGTTACTCCTACTCGAATATACTCGAACACACTCTTCTCCACTCTGCTCCACTCTGCTCTACCCTGCTCTACACTACTCTACACTACTCTACTCTACTCTAGTCCCGCCAGCCCTCTGGGCGATAGGCGGTCAAACGAGACCTTTCTTTCCTCTTCCAGAAGAAACCCGCCTTCCCCTTCGGGGAGGGGTTTAACCACTGTTCCTTTTAATATACACCACCTCCCCCACCGGGCCGGCGTCCAACCAGGAACCATGCTGACACCATGAGGGCCCGCCCCCCACCATCCCTGTCAAAAACCAAACAAAACGCACTCTGCCTCTACATTTGGAGCACGCGCGGCCAATCCGATGCGCCCCCCCCACCATCCCTGTCAAAACCAGTCCAAAGTACACGTCGGGGCAAAGTCTTGAGTCATGTTCGCGAGGCCCGCGAACACTTTGAATTGTTATTGACAAGGACGGCGGGGATGCCAGGGCCAGCAACCCTGACAACAAACAATATAACATGCTCCTCGCGGCTACATCTGGATCATGCGCGGCCATCCCACGATCATCGTGAAATGGTTTTTGGCATGGACGGCGGGGGTGGTTGCGCGTGGCCTGCTGACGCAATGATGGGCATGGGCTTTCGACAAGGATGGCGGGGGCCGACATGGTTCCCGAAGTGTGCTGTCACGTGCGCAGGCGCACCTGACTCACTCTGCACGTGCCCCGAACATGGCGTACCTGGCACGGCTGGAGTGTGCGGCACACTTGGCACACTCGGAGCACGTGGCGCATCTGGCGCACCAGGCGTGCCTGGCACGCTCGGGCCCAAGGGTGCCTGCCGCGCGTGGCGTCCCTGGCACGCGTGGCGCACCTCGTCCAAACGTCGCGAACCGGGGGTCGGCTTTGGTTCCCAGTAGCTGCCCATCCAAAGACGACTGCTGAACATGCTCGGGCTCGGGTGTTACTTATGAGTTGGGAGGGCGGGTGGTAGTGAGCTAGACGGCTTGCGGGCGGATGGGTAGCTTGACCCTCCCCCTACCCCCTCCTCTGGACCTGGACGGGGGCTTTCGCGAGCGGTCAGAGGGTCCTTCTTGGCCCAAGATGGCTCCAAGCGGGCATCAGAGAGCCCACTATGGCCTCCAAGATCGCTCACGATAGCCCAACATGGCTCAATATAGCTAACAACCAACATGCCTCCAAGAGGCCCCAAGAAAGCCACAAGACGGATCCAAGTGCGTTTCGTTTGGGGACCCCTCAGGACCTCCCCTGAGAAGCCAACATCCGTCAAACACCTAAATGAGAACCAATCATTTTCGCCGTCCGCCGTCGGCCCCAAGACCGCCCAAGAGCGCCCCTAGAGAGGCCCAGGAGGGTCCCAAGAGGCAAGTTTGATGGCCCCAGAAAAAGGGGGGGGGGGGGGGGGGCAAACGAAGGGGGGGGGGGGGGGGGGCAAACGTTAGGACCCCCTTTTTTAACGGACACCCTCCACGACAGTCCCAACAGGCCTTCCAGGGCTCCCAAGAGCCCCCCCACGAGAGCTTCAAGAGAGCCCCAAGAGGGCCCCAAGGCGCCCCAAAAGAGCCCCAAGAGGACCCCAATACCCCCAACGAGCCCCAAGAGGGCCCCACGATGCCCCGAAAGGGTTTCAAGAGGACCCCAGTATCCCCCTATACAGCCCCACAGCTCCAAGAAGGCCTCCGATGCTCCAAGATAGCCTCCAAGATGGCTCAACACGTTCTTCCCCCTGCTCTCGTTGACCGATCTGTTTCACTCTATGCGTCTCTGCTGTCCCTTCCCCGTCAGCTCTCGTGGGCAGGGCTTCTGAAGTATTGGCTGGCGGGGATTCGCGAATCGTGAGCAACATGCTAGACGTTACTCTATTATCTTCCCTGCTTTATCATACTCTGCTCTACTCTACCCTATCCTGCCCTACCCTAACCTATGCCAACCCTGCCAATAAAATGCTCTACTCTACTCTACTCTACTCGACTCCACTCTATTCCGAATGTACTCGTACTCGTACTCTACTCTACTCCTCCTCTACTGTGCTCTGGTCCTGCTCTACTCTGCGCTACTCTATTATACTCCCAGCTAAGATGCTCTACTACTATGATCGACTCTAGTATGTTGTCTTTTACTCATCTACTGTTACCTACTCTACTGGATTCTACTCTGGTCTGCTCTACTTGGCCACAACAACAATTTCCTTGGAAGCGCGCAATACCTCAAAATGGGCCGACGGATGCTAAGGCGCCCCCGCGACCCCAGAGTGTCTCCAAGATGGGCTCATGGGTGGGATCTTCTGCTTCCTGAGCTAGAACTATGGATAACATCAGGGTGCGGGGGCCTGGCCAGACCACACAAGATGAGTGCTCTGCTGGGCTTCTAAGGGGATCGTCCCCCTCAGGGCTGCCGTCGCGGTGGCCTCGTGTCTGAGAGCAACACGTTCCGGCGTACTCACACGAATTCAATGAACTTTCGGCACGGTGATGTACTCTACACTATTGTAGCCTGTCCGACTCTACTCTACCACCTACCCTACTCCGGTCTACTCTGCTCTACTCTGCCCTGCTCTACTCTACCGTACCCTGGTCTATACGACTCTACTACATTCCTACACTGCTCCTACTCTACTCGACTCTGCTCTCACCTCCTCAATTAGACTCTACTCTATTGTACCTGGCTCTCTCTACTCTGCTACTACCCTACTCACTTCTTATCTACTACTACTACTACGACTACTACTACTACTACTACTACTACTACTGCTGCTGCTGCTACTACTACTACTACTCCTACTCCTACTCCTACTCCTACTCCTACTCCTACTCCTACTCCTACTCCTACTCCTACTCCTACTCCTACTCCTACTCCTACTCCTACTCCTACTACTCCTACTACTACTACTACTACTACTACTACTACTACTACTACTACTACTACTACTACTACTACTACTACTACTACTACTACTACTACTACTACTACTACTACTACTACTACTACTACGACTACTACGACTACTACTACTACGACTACTACTACTACTACTACTACTACTACTACTACTACTACTACTACTACGACTGCGACTACGACTACGACACGACTACGACTACGACTACGACGACTACTACTACTACTACCACTACCACTACTACTACTACTACTACTACTACTACTACTACTACTACTACTACTACTA